AGAGCGGGGAAAGGACTGGAGGGGTCAATCAGCCTCGAGGACCTCGGGCTCCGTTTGTGTCCTGCGGGAAATGGGGAAGCGGTGTAATTAGTTGGAGGGTGCCAAGGGTCAGGCTGGCAGAAAGGAGGATGGTGGGGAAGTGACACGTAAGTGACAATGCTCTGAGTGGGACGTGGTGTAATCTGGGCCCACACCTGGATTTACCAGGCTTGTGGGATCTGCTGGACTGGAAGAGCCTCCCAGGGACCAAGAGCCAGAGCCAGGCAGTCGGCATCAGATCATGGATCCAGAGAGTATAAACCCTGTGCTTGGTGCCAGAGGTTGAAGGGATCCATCTGGCTGGATGCATTTTTTCTCTCTAACCCTGCTTGGGCAGAAAAGCCATCAGGAAGGCGCCAGGGCAACATGGACCCCCTTCACCCCACCTGGGCTAGCACAAGCACCCTCTGAGGTAAAAGATGGGAAAACTTGGACCCTGGCATCACCCTCTGGTGGCTTCCAGCACCAGACAGTGCAAAACTCTGCCAGAGCAATTGGTTCAAGAAGGCTTTTCTCTAACCCTCTGCACCTTCGCTTCTACCCCAAACATCTCCAGCTCTGGCACACAGCCCTTCAGGACCTGAATAAACCTGGGCGAGGACGGCAGCGCTGTCCCTGGAACCGAGAGCATCTCTGTAAGTGCTGTGGCTTTGCAGCCCTTCAGACACTTCCTCACACATCTCTTTTGCCCTGCTTTCACAATCACTCCTCTCCAGACTGTGGTAGGCTGCTGTCACTACCCTCTGCCTCAGGAACCCTCGCCCGGCTCACTGCTAATGTGACGGATCTACCTCTTTGACTTCCCTGTCATTAGCCATTTTTCCCAATGTCTTGTGGCTTTTTGTTTGTCTGTCTCTCTGGAAATGAGACTCCCCAGAGCTGAACTCTCCACAGCCATAGCAGAAATCTTTCGCTTTCTGGTGCTGTGACCTGACATGGGAGAGGTGGCTCTGAAAATGGCTTGTGTATGAAAATAGCTTGTGTATGAAAACCATCCCCCTGCATGAAAGGTAGGGAGAACTGGGCAAAGGGTTTGTCCTGAAAATCATCCTCTTGGTTACTGCTTGACTTTTAATTTGGGTTTGGAAGGAGTAAGGCTGGTATGAACCTGATCCGTCCCTGCTCATTAGACTTGTGCAGAGAATGAAATCTGGAGAATGGAGAGTGATTTCCATGGACCCCTTTGACTTTACTGCTAAAGCACTGTTTGGTTTTTTTTGTGGTTCCCTTTTTATTTCTTTATTCATTGAGGGATGCTGCATGACTTATTCCAGGAGGATAATCTGAGCAAGAGCAACAAGCTGTTGGTAATCAAGTAAGCAGTTTGGAGGAAGAATGACTCTGTGTCAAGAACATGTTGGGATATTTCTTCCCTGCATTGCAGCTTGGACAGGACGGTGGGTCAGGACTTCCACCTGTGTTTTTCTTGTGCTCTTCATAGAGAAAGCTGAGCCAGAACAAGGAGAAGGCATGGGATGGAAACCCTGCCTGGGGGCTCAGCCGTTGATCAACATTTGTACTGCTGTAAATATTTGGGGGCTGTTGTTTTGACCTTTGGGATGGTTGGTGCCTAAACTATCACACCGCAAGGCACAAACATGAGTAAACGCTTGTATTTAAGGAAAAACCCTTGCATCTCTGTTCTCTTTTATTTCTGGGGTGTTCAGCAATATCATGGTGCCCTAAGGATGACAAACAATATTAGGGATTGTCCTTATGGGGATCTTCTGCTGAGGGACAGAGACAATTCAATGTAGGTGAGTAAGAGCCATAAGACCAGAGAGGGAACTAGGCTGCAGACGGAGGGCCCTTGGGCATAGCTTGAAAGACAATTGTGGCAATAGCCATGTGAGGTTCAGATGGAAGCAGACCTCCACCCCTCCTCCTAGGCTGGGCAGGCTGGCATCCCTTCCAGCTCTTCCCTGTATTTCAGCAAGTTGCTCAATCAGAGCAGAAAAGTCCCAGATATTGCAGGTTTGCGGTATCCCCATCATGTCCTCAGGGACCAGGAGGAGCAGGGTGGCATTTCTGAACATCTCAGTCTCCTCTCCAGAGCAGAAGCTGACGTGGGTCCATGAGCCACCCTGAGGCTGCCATCCAATGGGGCTTTTCCAGGATCATCCTCCCACCAGCCCAGAACTGGGGCCATACAGATTTTGAGGACTTTCTCAGCTTGCGTGTGTGTCAGCTGTGACCGCTGTGCATGTGCTGTGTGGTGGACTAAGGAATTTCCAGGCGTGCGTCAGTCTGTCTGGAGCAGCCCTCGTGCGCTGTAGGATGACATGCAGAAGCTCTAACACCTTCCAGGAAGACTGGATGTACACATA